TTGCGGTGGTATGGACATGTGTTGAGAAGGGATGAAAGGGTCGGGATTAGGCGAGCGTTGGAGTTCGAGGTTGAAGGAGTGGTAGGAAGGGGTCGTCCGCGATTGGGATGGAGAGAGCAGGTGAAGAAAGACAGGGTGAAAGCAGGGTTGCGTGATACTGAGGCGAGTGACAGATGTGGATGGCGTCCAGGGGTATTTCGGTTTCATCATAGGTAGCCAAACGGCAACCCCCGATCTCGGGGAAAATTTCGTCTAAACGTGTGTTGTTGTTGTATATATATAAAGATATAAGTAATACTGGTAAAGTGAATTTTTCAGCGAGCTCAAATCGAATAGTGATGGATGATTTATTTGTGAGTGTCTTTGATATTAAAAGAAAGATTGATGGTTTGATTGGTTACAAGTCTGCTGGCCCCGGTAACATTTTCCCCCCTATAGTGAAAAAATTTTAATTTTCAATTTCTAAATTTTTATCTTCGATATTCAATTTGTCTTTCAAGTCAGGAAAGATTCCAGATGAATGGAGGCATAGCATCCCTACTCCTATTTAAAAAAAAGGTATTAATACAAGATTGTCAATTACAGACCTGTTGCTATTAGTTGGACATCTGTTGCAAGCTATTACAGTCTATTATTTAAGACCATTTGATATGTTACTTTGATGCAATAACATGCTTGATTGTAGACAGAATGGTTTTGTTAAGGATCAATCCACAACGCTTCAATTGCTAAAACTGCTGGACAATGTCATTTATACAAATTTTTCTAAGGCTTTTGATAACGTATCAAGCAGTTTATTGACTGAAAAACTAAATAATTATGGTGTAAATACTTGTTTAATATGCTGGATTGAAGACTTTTTACATTGTAGAATATATGGCGTAAGGATTAATAACTGTTTATTGAAGAGGCTTGATGTCAGTAGTGGAGTGCCTTAGGGAAGTGTTTTTTGTTCAGTTTTGTATATTTTATATGGGAATATATGTTTAGTTTTGTGGATAACAGTTCGGTTCAGTTGCTGATGATGCCAAACTATTCAATTGTGTAAAAATGAGGAGAATAAAATGGTTCTTCAAAATCATGTAGATAAGTTGTATGATTGAGGCAAAATGTGGATGGATAATTGATAAAAATGTAGAAAAATGTGCTGAAAAAAAATTATTGTGTATATAAAATTCTGGGTACAAATCTGGTGTCTTGTGATGATTTTAATGATTTAGGAATTTTGTTTCGTAGTTCTTTGAGTATTTCTAAGCATATACAAATAATTGCTAATAAAAGTTTTTATCTTTTAAGTTTAATGAAATTTAACAAAGATTTTGTTTATAATTATAAAATTGACGTCTTATCTGTTTAAATTCTTTTTATATTTTATTTTGATCTTTGTTCTTGACCTTTGATAAGGGCATGTGTCATTTGAGATGAGACCACCATTTATATTATAACATATACAAACATACAACGCTATATGTAAAAAAAAAATTTCGAAATCTTATCGGGGGAACCCCCTAAATTGTGCCACTTGACTAAAAAATGACATTTGTAAACTTTTAGCTCAATTGGATAATGCTAACCCGTGCCTCATCGAGGTTGAAATTTCAAAAAATTGGAAAATTTTGAAAAAAAAACCCAGTTTTTGGTTTGTAAAATAAAAACGGTTTACTCTAGAAACATAATTTAAGTTTTATTTTGTTTATTGATTAGTTTTCTTCAAATGTTACTATGATCACTATTTAGCTACAAGTTATAGTTTCTGACATATTTGCATTGTTACAGATACACATTGAAAAAAACGTTGAATTTCTCCATAACACAAAAACACACAATAACTTATTTACTACTACTAACCCGGGTGCTATATGTTGTTTTTATGTATTAATATTAAGATCTTTTGGTTTTTCTACGATTTCTCATTTTTGTTAAGGAGCAGTTGTACATTGGGATAGGAAATTACTTCCAGATATGTTAAATAAAGAAAATGTTGAAAGAGTTGCAGTCTTAATTAGCTGTGGAGAAGAAGAATAGTTAATTGGAGTTCCCCTATTAGAAAATGGTGCTGGCAGTATAATTGCAAAATCTGTTTATTCAGAACTTGGAAAGTGAGGTGCACTAGACAAGATTCAAGCAATGTCCTTTGACACAACTGCCGTGAATACTGGCCGCATTAAAGGTGCTTGCGTTTTATTAGAGTAATTGATGGAGAAAAAATTATTGTATCTTCCATGTCGCCACATGGAGGTGGTGTTGAGATCCGTTTTTGATGCTGTGATGGGAAAGACTACAGGCCCTCAATCGGATATTTTCAAAAAATTTAAAACTGAATGGAACAACATTGATAAAAAAATTTAAATCAGGAGTTAAAGATAAAAGTGTAGCCAGCAAATTGATTAATCCGGGTCAAATTTCAAGTTATCTTCAAAAAAAAATTAAAAGTTCATCATCCAAGGAGCTATTACAAAGAATTGATTAATCTTTGTCTTATATTTTTAGAACGCTTTCCGTCAGAAAACATCGTGTTTGCGGCTCCTGGTGCTTTTCATCACGCAAGGTGGATGGCGAAAGCGATATATTCGTTGAAAATTTACTTTTTTAGAGAACATTTCTACTGACAAATTTTGAAAAGCAAGGATTCCATGATATTTGCCTTTTTATTATTAATATTTATGTGAAAGTGTGGTTGGATGCCCTGAAACCTGCACTTGCTCCAAACCAAGATTTACAATTGTTAAAATATTTGGTGTGGTTGGAAAGTGTGGTTGGATGCCCTGAAACCTGCACTTGCTCCAAACCAAGATTTACAATTGTTAAAATATTTGGTAAATTACAATAAAGTCAATAAATTTATCTCAGATATATCAGTTTCAAAATTTATCAACCACATATGGTACCTCAATCCAGAGCAGGCTGTTTTTTCATTATTCGATGATTCATTAAGTAATTGTGTAAATGGCAACAAAATTAATATCTCAAGCAAATGAGGATGAAGAATTTGATGACTACAGCGATATGAAACCACTAATAAAAATAAATGAAGTATCAGAAATATTAGACAAAAATGCGGACCATTTTATTTCATCACAATCAAGTAATTTTTTAAAAAGATTCAATTTTGCATACCAATCCAGAATTATGGATTAATAACGAAGAATATTTAAAGAGTAAAAAGATTGTGGACGGATTAAAAGTTACAAATGATACAGCAGAAAGGGGTGTTAAATTAATAACAGATTACAACTCATGTATTACAAAAGATGAAGGACAAAAACAATATCTTTTGCAAGTAATTGCCGAATGTCGGACAAAATTTCCTGGTTGCTCAAAAGCCTCCTATCCGAGCCTACCTTTTGAACAACGAGTTAAACTAGAAATTTATTTGATGTTAACAACTATAAACAATATTATATGAATAAAAAATGTGGTTATTCGTTAATAATAATGATTTAGATACAACAACGGTATTATTTGAAAAACATTTCTTTATAAACAAATTGTGTGTTTTTGTGTTATGGAAAAATTCAACGTTTTTTCAATGTAACAATGCAAATATGTCAGAAACTATAACTTGTAGCTAAATAGTGATCATAGTAACATTTGAAGAAAACTAATCAATAAACAAAATAAAACTTAAATCATGTTTCTAGAGTGAACCGTTTTTATTTTACAAACCAAAAACTGCGTTTTTTTTCAAAATTTTCAAATTTTTCGAAATTTCAACCTCGATGAGGCACAGGTTAGCATTATCCAATTGAGCTAAAACTTTACAAATGTCATTTTTTAGTCAAGTGGCACAATTTAGGGGTTCCCCCGATAAAATTTTGAAAAAAAATTTCTTGTGACCACCCTAATACATACTGTACATTTAAAATAATAATATATAATTGTTTGATATTGTTATAACCGATTCCTTTAACTTGTAGGGTATGGTTATTTCTCTCTACGTGGATTCTCGATTCCTAAGTAGACTTATTTCAGATGATTTATCAGTAGACTTATTCTTTACTGCAGTGAGCTTCCAGCTATCGGAATCTTACCTCTGTCACCAGTGTGTAATCTCCTGAAAATCCCACTTCTAAAACCAGTGTCGTAACCTCTTCGACCTCGTAACTACCAACACCGATGTTATAGCTTCAGTACTCGCTATATCTCCAACACCGTGTTGTAGCTTCCAACGATAGTCAAGAGTTCGTTTATCCGTAGGTTCAAGACCTAGGATAGATGAACACAACAACTTTAAACGCAAACTACGTCAAACGTTTATTTACTACCAGCAGTAATAGAAACAATAACTTAATCCTAATAACTACACAAAATCACATTAATCACATTTACGTCAATTGCGCTCCGTCTTCTGATTACCTGTATTCCACGTGGTATCTCCCTCGCATTATTCTCGTTCCTTTTCCTCTTCGTGTTGTCGGTCTTCCTCCTTATATAGTGACCCTTTTCACAGCCGTTTTAATTAGCTCCGCCTCTTAATTAAATTATCAAGCGCTTCACTTTAATTTCCAACTACTATTTCTTATCTCGCCTTCACGTCTGTAACAATATAAACATGCATGCACCATTAGCAAATTTTGACATCAAGAAACAATCGGGAAAATTAACCGGAATATATTGAGAAATTGATACAATTATTATTAAATTGAAAAACTATTGGGTAATTATCGGAACATTGTGAAATTACATTGTGAAATTTTTTGGCTCATTAATTCGGGAAAACTTATTCCAAACATACATGCACATTGGGGCAACTGAATATTTGTGTTTAGATAATGATTAGTAGTTAGATATTAGGCAGGATAGAGTCGTAAATAAAAATGTTATGTTAATTATTTCATTTAGATTTATTATCAAAGCTAATGAAACTCTTCTATTGACACAACATTTGTTATTTGTAAGGCATTACAAAGTACACCAGATAAGCTAGTAGAAAATGAATGTTCTAATATTTCTGACACATAATTTATTTTAAAATGACGAACAATAGCGAACCAGCAAACCTCAAACATTTTAAGCAGATCCTCCTTCTTCATCTCCAACCTCTCAAATGGCTGCTTCTCCTTTACAATCTTCTGCACTAACGTTTCCAAATTTGGATAATCTGCAGGAGTCACTGATCTATTTTTTGAGTTTAAAATTTCATCAGTTGTTTTTCATTTTTATTAGATTTTATCAGTTGCATGAATGTTTGTGCACATTGAAAATTTGCATACACATATGCATACACAAACACACAATACGAATAAACTTTCTAAAACTTCTGACATTCACTGAAAAACTTTCAAGTAATCTTGCCAAAATTTGTGTTTGGTATTTTAAATAAAATAAAAAGCATAAATAAATAATTTGATCACAAACCAAATAATTGAAGACAATAACAAATTTCTTGATAAATGTTCGAAAAATAAGTAACGACATGTAAAATAACCTCCCTTCAAGGAACATATCGTAATAAAATCCTTCCTCAATGGGAGGACCATAGCAAAGATGTCCTCCATAATGACGTTCCATCGCTTCTCCTAATATGTGAGCGCTTGAATGCCAAAATACTGCCCGAGCTGTAAAAACAAAAAAAAACAAGTTGTTAGCCTACATCATTTTTTAAAACAAACTTTACTATACTCCAAAACCTTAAAAAATAAATATCACAGCACTAAAAAGTAATAGTAACATTCTCTTTTCTACATTTTTTTGTGATTAAGAGCCTGTTACAATATCCTATATTCATTGACTTTTTACATTACCATACTCAATTGCCATTCAATTGGTGCTCAATCTAACAGTAACAACCTATGCTTCCTCGTTAACCCTGCATAATTGCTGATTATTGTCAAATAATTTGACAATTTGATTTTTATCAAAAATTGTAGTTTTATCAATGTAAAATTGAATAAAATTGTCGAATTGTGTTATATTTTTCATAGGTGTGAAACGTGTGAGCATTTAATTTCACGTGACACTGATTAAAAATGACAAAAGTATTGGTATTGATTTGCAATACTTTTGAAACTGAGTATTGGTATTTATATTGACAACACAATTTTTTGGTATTGTTAACAACCTTGATAAGCAGTATTTTCATTACCATGTAGATGGTATTTATTTTATCATCGTCAAAATAAGTTACATTTTTTATTATCAGATTAAGTGACATCTTTTACAAACTCGTCAAGCAACATTTTTTATATGTTATTGACATGTTAAGTATGCTGAACTATGTTTCCATAAACAAAACAAACTAAATTATTTTTTACACATCAGCAATAGGTTTCAAACCAACACAAGAACAAACATAGCCCACCTACCTTCTGGGTCATCAAACTTTAACAATTGCAATGTAGCATCTTTTTCAAATGGACGATCAAGATCCCAGACTACACCATTCACCTTAGAAATAACACTTTCATCTGCTAGACCCTGGCTATTGGCAAACAAATTTAATCTAAGTTATTATAGAGCAATCAAAAAATGTTTAATTAAAACACAAGTATGTTTATGTTATTTGATCGATCATATATAAAAATTACATTATTCTTTGTTTTATCAGATTCTGTAAAATTGTGGCAATTACTAAATGTTTTATGATATATGTGATATATATATATGTGTAGATTTTTGCCAGGCGACATTCAAATTCCGCACTACGCGGTCCCGAACCGCATAAGAATATCCACCCGAGTCTTCACTTTGGCGGAGTCTTTCCTGGCCGAGATCTGCCACTCTACAATAGACCCTCTCAGAGTTTGTTCGCGCCCTACTTGTTGACTAGAGACGCCGGCCTCGTCAACTATTATCAAGTCTTCTTCAACATTCATTATTTTAGGTAAAATAATTAAGCCGAGCCAAATTTCAAGTGTGTACTTCTTTTATTCAAAAAAAAAAAAACAAAATCAAACAAAACAAAATCAAACATCTGTTTTTATATGCAAACAATTAACACGCGATATATTAAAATTAACTATCCATTAATACTATCTACTATAACTATTACGCAAACTATTACGCAAGCGACTATAATCAACAGCTATAAATTTCAAATTCAGCATATAACATTGTTCAATAAAAATAAGATAGAGTAGTTCGTGTCTCTAGTTGGAGAAAACTAAAATCTTCTAATGAACTCACCCTTGAACATGCCAAGTAAAAGCAAAAATAGCTCGAAAAACTCATTTGCATTCACACGAAAATAGGTTTTTATTTCACATGCGCATGTTTTGGGGTTATAACAGGTGAGATCTGTTTGAAGATCTGTCAGTCAAAAACAGTAGATTATTTTCTTTAATATAACAGTTGCGTCTTGTTGAAAGCGGTGTCGTGTTTTTTCATGTTTAATTCAAATTTCTTAATGATTTAATTTTGCTTGACTCCCGTTTCATTAAAAGTTTATGATTCATTTCATTTATTCGATTTATATGTTGCCCAACAAATTTATGTTGGAGAAATTGCTCAATGCCGACTGAATGGAATTATAGCATGACAGTCCCGCTATACAAAGTCAAAGATGATCCATTGAACTGTTCATCATATCGGGGTATACGTCTGTTAGAACACTCCATGAAAATTGTCGAGAAAATCATTAAGAGAAGATTAACGTCGTGCATCACAAACGGAAATTATCAATTTGGTTTTCTAGCGGGGAAATCAACAATTGATGCAATTCACATCCTTCGGCAACTGCAAGAGAAGTACCTCGTAAAGCCATCAACAACTATCGCACATTTTTGTAGACCTTGAAAAAGCGTTTGATCAAGTTACCCGTGAAGCAATCAGGTGGAGTCTACGTCGCAACTCATTGCAGAATATCTTGTTCGACTTGTGATGGAAATGTACACGAATACTAAGACTCTTGTCAGCACAACGGTTGGAAACACAGATGTATTTGACGGCGTTGGAGTTCACCAAGGCTCGATTCTCAGTCCACTGTTATTTATAACTGTGATGGAAGAAATCACAAAACCGATACGCACTGGTGACATTTGGATTCTAGTATATGCTGATGATATCGTTTTAACAGCCACGTCTGAGCAGAATGCAGCACAGATGTTTGAAGATTGGAACACAAGACTCGCCGATCATGGATTCAAAGTCAACATCAGCAAAATCAAAGCAATGAACACTGGTGACCCATCCAATCCACAGCTACTGGACGATGGCCCTGTTCTGTTTAGTTTGTAAAGCTGGTGTAGGTAACAATTCAATCAAGTGTCAGCAGTGTAACCAGTGGTGTCACAAACGTTGTTCAAAATTAATTGGTACTTTATATAAAGTGTCCAATTTTGTTTGTCCTGCTTGAATCAATCCACAACAACAAATTCGAAATAGCAATGTTTTTGAAGCCATTAAGGTAGAGAAAGTCACATCGTTTTAATATCTAGGAGATGTTCTGGATTGTACTGGAACAGCTGAAGCTGCCGTTCGAGCACGCATACGTGCAGCCTGGAATAAATGGCATCTCCTTGCCTCTATTGATGCGGCGTGACATCCCACTACCACTACGATCAAGACTTTATAAATTCTGTGATACGTCCGGTGTTGTTATATGGTGCAGAAACATGGCCAATGACAACCAAACTGGAACAACAACTTCAACGAACCGACATGAAAATGATCCGATGGATGCAACGAATTAGTCTGAAGGACCACATCAAATCTACCGAAATCTTGCGTCGTGCTGGTTTAGATGATATAAAGGACGAATGCCGACAACACTGTCTGCGGTGGTTTGGTCATGTCAAACGAAGTGGAAACAGTGCCATAACTTTTTTTGCAGATGTTGAAGTACCTGGCACACGTCCCAAAGAAGTCCCGGTCGCAAACAATCGAGCAAGACATGAAAGCTCTAAATTTAAATGAAATGGATACAACTGATCATCTAATTTGACGCAAAAAGTTGATGGCAAAGAAAACAACATCCTACCTCGGGAAACCGGGTCTCTGGACGCAAAACGAAGATTGATTGATTGATTGATTTGATGTTGCCCAACAAGCTTAGACTTCAGGTTTTGTATTGATAAAATGAAAATATATGTATATACAAAGCTGTTAATTGAGAGACAAGAGGACAGAGTGAAATCTACTACGAAGAGGCCGGACCTATTGTTAAGATCAATAAGATCACTGCTTATTGTTCATTGTAGTTGCTTTGAATCATGTTTGATTTCTTTTATTACTGTTTTTGCTGTTTTAGTTTTAATAAATAGTTCAAACTGGAATTTACTGGCCAGACAAACATGGTACAACATTTATGTGCAAGGCTTATTGTTTGTGACTGCATAAAAATATTGTTTTTTTGCTGTCACAAAGATGCAAATTTCCTAGTTAGCAAATATCATACAATACAACATGAAAAAAGAAAAAACTTAAATATTGTTTGGCAACACATTTTGTTGTAGTTAAAGTGTTCGCCTGTTGCATGAGATTTCAGAAATTCTATTTGAAGCTGGCATAATTTCCGTTTTGAATTTAATTAAGTTTCAGTTAAAGTTTATTTCTATTTCTGAACGTCACATGGCAAGAGTAAGTGGGAAAACTCCATGAGTAGGAAATTTTATCACTTTTGTTGCACAAAATCCAACGAGTAAGGAATTATACATAAGCAATTCCGCACTTGCTGGAGGTTCATAATATAGAACAAAAACAATAAAATTGAACGAAACGTTTAATCAGTAACGACAAATGTAACTTTTAAACTCATACACAGTAAAAAATAATCATTTAAAGTTTGCTCATTTACACATTAATAGTCTGAAAAATAAATTATTGCGTCAAAAAATTTATATGTGATTTAAAATTGGACGTCCTCACCATCAGTGAAAGCAGACATTTTTCTTCTGACGGTGTATGTCTCAGTTAATCAACACTTGTTGGATATAAAGGATGGAAAGGCAGCAGGGCCCTCTGGACTCACAAATGACATTATCAAAATTATCAAAGCATCTGGGGCTGCAGGTATCCAAACGTTACTACAACTTTGCTTTGAAATCTGGAGAAATTGCTCAAAGCCGACTGAAAGGGACTATAGCATGACAGTTCCGCTATACAAAGGCAAAGGTGATCCATTGAACTGTTCATCATATCGGGGTATACGTCTGTTAGAACACTCCATGAAAATTGTCGAGAAAATCATTAAGAGAAGATTAACATCGTGCATCACAATCGGAAATTATCAATTTGGTTTCCTACTGGGGAATTCAACAATTGATGCAATTCACATCCTTTGGCAACTGCAAGAGAAGTACCTCTCAAAGCATCAACAACTATCACACATTTTTGTAGACCTTGAAAAAGCATTTGATCGAGTTTCCCGTGAAGCAATAAGGTGGGAGTCTACGTCGACAACTCATTCCAGAATATCTTGTTCGACTTGTGATGGAAATGTATAGGAATACTGAGACTCTCGTCATCATAACGGTTGGAAACACAGATGTATTTGAAATCGGCGTTGGAGTTCACCAAGGCTCGATTATCAGTTCACTGTTATTTATAACTGTGATAGAAGAAATCACAAAACCGATACGCACTGGTGACCTTTGGAATCTAATATATGCTGATGATATCGTTTTAACAGCCTCGTCTGAGCAGAATGCAGCACAGATGTTTGAAGATTGGAACACCAGACTCGCCGATCATGGATTCAAAGTCAACATCAGCAAAACCAATGCAATGAACACTGGTGACCCATCCAATCCACAGCTACTGGACGATGGCCCTGTTCAGTTTGTAAAGCTTGTGTAGGTAACAATTCAATCAAGTGTCAGCAGTGTAACCAATGGTGTCACAAACGTTGTTCAAAATTAATTGGTACTTTATCTAAAGTGTCCAATTTTGTTTGTCCTGCTTGCATCAATCACAACAGCAAATTCGAAATTGCAATGTTTTTGAAGCGATTAAAGTAGAGAAAGTCACATTGTTTCAATATCTAGCGTATTTCTGGATTGTACTGGAACAGTCTACGTGCAGCCTGGAATAAATGGCGTCTCCTTGCCTCTGTATTGATGCGGCGTGACCACATCAAATCTACCGAAATCCTGTGTCGTGCTGGTTTAGATGATATAAAGGACGAATGCCGGCAACACTGTCTGCGGTGGTTTGGTCATGTCAAACGAAGTGGAAACAGTACCATAACTTTTCTTGCAGATGTTGAATTACCTGGCACACGTCCAAAAGGCCGTCCAAAGAAGTCCTAATCGCAAACAATCGAGCAAGACATGAAAGCTCTAAATTTAAACGAAATGGATACAACTGATCGTCTAATTTGCGCAAAAAGTTTATGGCAAAGAAAACAACGTCCTTCCTCGGTGGAACTGGGTCTCTGGACGCTAAACAAAAATTGTCAAATATGCAAAAACTAAAAACCCCTAAATTAGATATCGGCAATTGGTAAGACGTACCGAAAACAATCGCTACCACACCTCCACGCGATATCAGCCACCCACGTCCCCAAGGAAAGCCAGTTCAAACAGTCACTGATATGTATACACAGTGCAACAAAACTTAAAAGACTCAATTGATTCCGGCTATGTTGTGCTTCAGCTGTGGGGAAAATATATTGTTGTGCATGTAAATTAACGCCCATTCAAAAGACTCATTTAAGTACAGGTTCCAATGACTGGAAACAAGCATTTAACACCCATATAAACATGACATTTTAAAGACGCAGAAAAAGATACTTTGTGGTCACCAAGTTAGGTGGAGATTCCCTTTCTTATATTTGAACCAGGGCATCGAACTAGAACTGATAAAGTGCCAATGAAAGCACTTGTAATATTTGTAAAGCTGTTATAAAAGAAGATCATGCTACCAACTTGGAACGTCATTTGAAACGTAATCATGATGAGAAGTTTGAAAGTGTTCAGCAAAGAAAAAAGTTAAAGTATGATGAAAAAACGGCTATTGCCACCATTCACCCAGATAATCGTATAGAAACACTAAACAACACAATTTCAAAATTTAAAGAGTTGAAAATCAAAAGGCCAATATTAGATTGCCCAACCAGATGAAACAGTACATACAATATGGTGACATCATTATTACAATGCAAACAGTTTAGTTCAACCTTAGCATGAAGTAGTCTCGATTACTTTTTTTCCGAAGACAAATGGGAAAAACTTAATTTATTCGCTACTGCACTCCATCCTTTATTTGAGACAACATTGAAACTACAATGTGAGCAATTGATAGCGAGTGATTTCTATGGTGTTTGGGTGGAATGCAAACTAAAATTGAAAAATCTGAAAATTTTTTTGCAGAGATTTTATTAAAAAATTTGAATGTAAGAGAAAAGTTGTTATTAAACAATGAAAGCTTGTTGGGATCACTTTATTTAGATCCAAGATTTCAGATATTGCTTTCTTTGTCACAAATAATGCAAGCAGTGCAACATCTAAAGATACTTTGGAATAAACTAATAAACTAGTGTTTTTAGAAAAATCTGAATTAGAACTTATAGCTTCTTTAGATGTTACATCAAGTGAGTCAATTGATGAGCCTGTGATAGTAGGATGTCCGTTACATGTATTTAAGGAATTATGCTTAAAAAAGAAAGTTCCGGAGCGAAACCGAAAATTAAAAAAAACCGATATTATTTCAGGAACGAAGACCGGAACCAAACCGAAATTGTTCGTTTTGCTGACTGAACCGAAAGTGTAACGAAAAAATTACGGTTTGTGATTTGAACTCAGTCACTGCATACACTGCTAAATAGGATTAGGTGCCTTTAGCCACTAGGCCATTGCGTCGGTCAATAAGGAGCAGAATGATATCATGAGAAATGAAGCCACACATCTTTTAGATAAGATGACCGGTCTTGACATAGTTCTATTTGCCATCTTTAGAAACGACATTTTAGAGTGATTCAATGAAATCACAAAATTTTCGAGCCCAAAAATGCTCCTTGAATCTGATGTACAAACATCGTAGTCTTTAAAATATCTTAGGTGAAAAAAATCATATGCAAAAAACGATTTTGATAAATACAAGAAATCCGCTAAAAGAATGACGAACATTGATGAATACAAACAATCACAAAACAGAAATAGAAGTTTGTTGCCTCAGTGGCCTCCAGACCTCTAAATCTGGTTTTGCACTAAATGTGTCTATTAGAAAAAAAGATTTAAAGATCTAGCCTGATGCTTTTTGCAACATCATATGGTGTGGTTCTCCAGGACAAACCTTCCAAAGTCTTGCCATTAGGTAAAGTTATCTGTATGGACTGCGGCGCTTGATTGGCCACCCACTCGTCATACTCCTTCTTTAATTTATCCCACATTTGCTGACGCCAAGCTATATATTCTGGAGCCGGATCTAACTGCAACAAAATTTATTTTAAATAGTTTTATGAATGCAACTGGAAGTAGAAGAACAAAAAAATGTTTAAAATAAGCAAGTAGAACAGTACTAAAAACATCCAAAAAATAATTTATCCAAAATATGAACAAAATGTGTTCTTTGAATGTTTTTTGCAACAAATTATTCAAAAATAACATCAATGCATGTTTTTAATGGAAAAAATTAGTTAAATTTAATTTTCATGACAGCTTTTTTTAAGGCACAGATAATGTGAAGATTTTTTATTTTGGTCACAAAAAACATGCATTAAAAAACTGAAATAAAATAATAAGTTAATTAAAATTAAACAAAATCAAATTAATTATAATATATTATAAGTATCTCATAATCAGGAAAGAATGAACACAACGATAAATGATTAGTTTTAAATGATTCATTCAATTGATATCCCATTCACAATAAACAAAATAAGATGACGATATTAATCAACTCAGTCAGTAGAAACACCATGTCACATGCTGCTATTACACGATAATATGGGTTTAATACTGCTGAATACTCAAAGACAAAGTTTTTTTAAGAAAGAAACAAAAAATTCGATCAAGTTCAACAAAATATGTATTCAAGAGAACATGCTGCCTAAATACACAGAGAATTATATAAGATATGCAGCAATATGAATAAAAATAGTAGTTGATAATGTAGAATATGTAAGACCACTACAGTCTACTTCCTTTATTATCATCAGTCGCTTCATCTTTAAAATCGTAACTGATAGCAAGCTATGAAGTCAACTTTATGTGACATCAGATTACAAAAATAATTCTGTATCGTCGGTAATAACCAGATATCAGCAACACATTCAGTGTCCGCATCTTCAAGAGTTTATTTGCAAAGTGCACATTGTGTAAACAAGAAAGTTATTTCATGACTATCAGGTTTTAGGTCAAACTTAACAAATTGTTTATTGTTGTAGACCTAGTCTCAGGACTCCAAATAATCGACAGAGTAACAAACCAAAGAAACTCCAAATCTTAGAGCATTTCACATACAATATAATCAAACAAATTATTTTATGGTTGATTTAGATAAGAGATATGCCTTATTTCGATTTACATAATGTCTTTGGATAACAACAGTTTTATTAAACTTTCATGATGAACTTGGATAATAATTCTATTTTCAATAAATTGAACAATTTCCAAAAAAATTATAGTAAGGAAAATTGAAATAACAAACTTTAAATTGATTAACATCAACAATTCAGTAGAATTCATACAATATGTATAAGATATGGTCTACTTCCAACATATATTTATTTATATATAATTAGGTTAATATTCATTGAATTCAACATCTTAATAATTAGTTATTTATTAATTTATGTTTATATTTTTCTATTTTTCTAATAGTACATTGTAATTTATTATGTAATTTATTAATTAAATTCAATCAATCAATCAATCTTCGTTTAGCGTCCAGAGACCCAGTTTCCAGAGGTAGGACGTTGTTTTCTTTGCCATCATTTTTTTGCGCCAAATTAGACGATCAATTGTATCCATTTCATTTAAATCTTTAGCTTTCATGTCTTGCTCGATTGTTTGCGACCAGGACTTCTTTGGACGGCCTTTGGGACGTGTCCAAGGTACTTCAACAACTGCAAGAGAAGTTATGGTACTGTTTCCACTTCGTTTGACATGACCAAACCACCTCAGATGGTGTTGCCGGCATTCGTCCTTTATATCATGTAAACCAGCACGACGCAAGATTTCGGTAGATTTGATGTGGTCCTTCAGACTAATTCGTTGCATCCATCGGATCATTTTCATGTCGGTTCGTTGAAGTTGTTGTTCCAGTTTGGTTGTCATTGGCCATGTTTTTGCACCATATAACAACACCGGACGTTTCACAGATTTATAAAGTCTTGATCGTAGTGGTAGTGGGATTGCACGCCGCATCAATATAGAGGCAAGGAGATGCCATTTATTCCAGGCTGCACGTATGCGTGCTCGAACGGCAGCTTCAGCTGTTCCAGTAAAAACCAGAACATCCCCTAGATATTGAAATAATGTGACTTTCTCTACCTTAATGGCTTCAAAAAAGTGCTATTTCGAATTTGTTTTTGTAGATTGATGCAAGCAGGACAAACAAAATTGGACACTTTAGATAAAGTACCAATTAATTTTGAACAACGTTTGTGACACCACTGGTTACACTGCTGACACTTGATTGAATTGTTACCTACACAAGCTTTACAAACTGAACAGGGCCATCGTCCAGTAGCTGTGGATTGGATGGGTTCACCAGTGTTCATTGCATTGGTTTTGCTGATGTTGACTTTGAATCCATGACTGGCGAGTCTGGTGTTCCAATCTTCAAACATCTGTGCTGCATTCTGCTCAGACGAGGCTGTTAAAACGATATCATCAGCATATATTAGATTCAAAATGTCATTAGTGCGTATCGGCCTTGTGACTTCTTCCATGTGGACTGAGAATCGAGCCTTGGTGAACTCCAACGCCGATGTCTAATGCATCTGTTTTTCCAACCGTTGTGCTGACAAGAGTCTTAGTATTCGTATACATTTCCATCACAAGTCGAACAAGATATTCTGGAATGAGTTGTCGACGTAGACTCCACCTGATTGCTTCACGGGAAACTCGATCAAACGCTTTTTCAAGGTCTACAAAAATGTGCGATAGTTGTTGATGGCTTTACGAGGTACTTCTCTTGCAGTTGCCGAAAGATGTGAATTGCATCAATTGTTGATTTCCCTGCTAGGAAACCAAATTGATAATTTCCGATTGTGATGCACGACGTTAATCTTCTCTCAATGATTTTTTCGACAATTTTCATGGAGTGTTCTAACAGACGTTTTGATGAACAGTTCAATGGATCACCTTTGCCTTTGTATAGCGGAACTGTCATGCTATAGTTCCATTTAGTCGGCATTGAGCAATTTCTCCACACTTCACGGCAAAGTTGTAGTAACGTTTGGATACCTGCAGAGAGTGTCTCACTAAAAGCAAAGGTGAACAAATGAAAGCAAAGCGTACGAAAAAAGACATAGTTGGTGCCTCATGTATCAAAAACGACAAAAATGAGATGGTTCAATTTATTAATTAAATTGACAAAATGTTTGTTGATATTCATTTTATTACTATTATTTTCAAAACACATATTAAAATAAAAATAAATTTATTAAAAATATTAAAATAAAAAGAAATTTATTCTTAGTTTTAATATTTTTAAATGAATTTTGATTTTATTATGTGTTAATTAAAAAATAGTAACAAAAGAAATATCAAAAAACAAAATAAGCATTGGTGTCAACATTGTTACAATAGATATAAGGAATCACAAAGTTATCCATAATCACTACTAAACAATGCGAAGATTTAGTTGACATTATATTTTTTGCATGCTCGTATTTTTATTTAATTCCTCTGTCGGTTGTCTCCAGCCAAAGAAGCCAATATGACTTGTCGCCATCCGTTTTTGTCTTTCACAATCTATTTCACCGTTTTTTCTAGTTCTTCCAGTAGTTCTTATGTGTAATGATAAACCAGGTCTTTCCAAATCTAGACTAAGACACTCGTTCCATCTCGTTTTAGGTCTGCCTTTTAATCTTTTCCCCACTAGTTGATACTTCCAAATTTTTTTTAGGCGTTCTGAACTCTTTCATCCACATCTTATGTCCTGCCCACTTTATTTATTTATTTTTTTTTTTAGTCTTTATTATTACAGCTCTGACATACACAGTACCACTTACAATGTTACAGATATATTATCTATATATCTTTTATTATGTTCTTCATATCTTCATCCATTTATTTGAAGCAGCCAACTTCGCCACAAAGGCTGTTTAACCTTTTCAAACGACGTACACATGTATTTATGTACGCTGAGTATATGATAGCCATTGAGATGTTTGACTCAGCCAGCATTTGAACCACTGAGCCATCTCGCCGGCCAACATGCGACAACTTACGTCGTCTACCCATTTACCAACCACGAAAAGAATGGACGGCTGGGTTGGCCGGGGTTCGGCTACCCGGATGAACCTGTAGAAACTTCAGGATTCGACCCGGGCCGTGGGAGTGGTAGATAGACACGCTAACCACTTGGCCACGGGACTTCAATCTCCTCTTCTTAATAACATCACAAATATTCATTTGTCCTGCTCTTTTCCTGATTTCCACATTTGTGACGTGATGCTTGTAGCCTATTCGCATCATTCTTCTGATACACATGTTCTCGCAGGCATCCAACTTTTTTCCATCTTTCTCTTTAATGCTAACGACTCAGCCCCATATGTCACAACCGGGGCCACCATAGCATTGTAGGTTCTTAACTTGACCTTTAGTCCATTGTCATGTCTTTTGAAAACTTTGGTGTATAGTCTCTGAAATACTTCTCCTGCTAGCGCTTTCCTTCTCTTCAATTTTTCCTCTATTCCACCTGCCTGTTTATATGACTTTCTAAATAGATAAATTCTGATGCTGTTTCTATTTCTTTCCATTCACTTTCACCTGTGGTCAAGGTCCGTATGTCTGTGATTAGCATTACTTTTGTTTTTTTGATGTTTATGTTCAGGCCTAATTTTTCACTTTCCTGTTGTAAAATGTCGGTTACCTGCATTGCCCTAAGAAGACATTCAGCCATTAGGTATGCGCCATCTGCATATTCTGCATCCAGCATATCTTTAAGGGTCACGCTTTTCCAGTCGTCTCCGTATGTAGTCCAGAACGACGTTGAATAAGATCGAAGATAGAATGCAAACCAGTTTCTGAAACCAGTTTCTATTTGGAACTATTCAGATTTTAGATTCTTCCACTCTTATATTTGCCATAACAGTACCCTATAGATTTCTGATCAGTTGCACTACCTTTGTATAAAGCCTATATCTCTTGAGAATTTCCTATGCTCCTTCTCTCCAGATGGAATCATAAGCTTGGGCAAACAAAAAAACTTCGTCGTTGAACTTTATCTTTTTCTCTATCATTTACGTCTTAGTACGAAAATATGATCAGAGCATCCTCTACCTTTCCTAAATCCACTTAAGATTTCTATGAAAAGACTTTCTATGGTGTCACCGATATGATTTAAAATTATTCTTATGAGCACCTTTCCCGGTACATTGAGTTGTTGCATATTTTTCTATTCCCTTTCTTGTAGAATGTACATGCTTTATTGTTGTTTTCTTCCAGTCCTTTGGAATAATCTCATCTCTCCATACCGCGTCTATTACCCTGTGAAGCCAGTTAATCGTGTCTGCTTCTGTGTTTTGCTTTAAGCAACTCACTAAAATGTACTTTCCACCGTTCCATTCCCTCATCCTTTGCCGTTATTATCTTACCACCGTTATCTATAACAGGCTCAATCATGATCAATCTATTACTCTTGATTCCGACACGCTCGTAAATATATATATATATATATATATATATATATATATATATATATATATATTCGTTATATATATATATAAATGTCGTTAAAAATGGTTGCCCAGCGTGCGTTTATAATCTTTTTTATTAAAACCTCAACACTTCTGAGTTTGTTGAATTCATATTTATTGAGAGGAAAATTATTATTAAGCTTGGCTGACAGTACTGTTTCGGAGTTAACCATCGTCGGAGCCTATTAGATCAAAAAACACATAGTCAGAAATGCAAAATTTGAAATAAAATATTAAGTGAAATTTAAGTAAATGAGCAGTTGAATTAATAAATTAAATATTAAGTTAAAATATGAGAGTAACCTTCGAATATTAATGACATTATATATATATATATATATATATATATAAAAGGAAATATAAATGAAATTAACAAGATAATAAAATTACGATAACTGAGAAACGAAATGAAATTATAAAATCGGAAAATAATATAGTGAAGTTAGTATTAAAAGAAGGTGGACGTATGTGTTAAAGAGAGCCTCGTTCCTATATATATATATATATATATATATATATATATATAATATATATATATATATATATATATATATAAGTGTATAAGCATGTTGACCTAAGGGACCATATCCATACAACCGAGATCCTGAACCGATCGGGACTGTGCACGTTGAAAGATGCATGTCGTTGTCATCGCCTACGATGGTTTGGCCATCTGACGCGAAGCGAAAACGATACAATAATTTCCGGTACTGAGCCTGGCACCCGCCCAAGAGGTCCCCTCAAAAAGTCCTGGACGCAAACCATACAAGAGGACTTGAAGGCACTTGATCTCAAGGAGACAGACGCAATGGATAGATCGGCTTGGAGACAGAAACTGATGAACGGAATAAAAAAGTTCGACCCATAACGGATGGAGACTATAAACGAGGATTGATTGATTGATTGATATAAGTGTATAGGTCCAGTTTAAAATAATGCACTCATACAAAACTCATATAAAGTGTATACAATTCCTAACATTATAATGTATCGATAAAAAACAAAAACAAATGCTTAAAATATCAAACACAATAAAAAACAAGAATATAAAAAATACTTCAGCAGCATGTCCACAGCAGACTGTCTCCTTATTTTTTTTGTTTAATTCATGACCCTGTTAATAAATATCCCTCAGCTACAATAATCAGTATTGGTTAATGACATTTAAATAATTAAAAAAGATTAATTAAAATGTTTAGCTTAACAGTGATGATAAAATAATGACTAACATTTTAATAGTTATACAACAAAAATATAAAAATTATTCACATTTATTAACGTCTTGAAAATATCAATAAATTTGATAATTAAAATTAAATGATTTTATGGACATATTAAAAATCGGTTTTCTTATCAGCCAGACTGTATTCAATTATGATTAATTATAAGACATTTCATTTGATAAAAAAACGGAGATAGTTAAATTTGTTATTTGTATTTGCTGCAACATAGATAATGCTTTTATATATGGGCATTTTGCCTGCATAAGCAAGCATCAATGTGTGAATTATGCGTTTGACAATCAAATCTATATAGGCAGTTCAGGCAGTTCATCTCTATACTTAACATAGTCCCGATATCAACCCCACCATCACTAATGAGTTACAAACTTTCCAGACATTCAAAACTCTCCACTCTCATAGGCATAAATGCACCAAACTATCTACCATTAAACTATAATGTTACCGAAGCACCAATAATCTTGCATATCAAATGAGCCTCTCCCTCCTGCTCTGGTCTTACACAAGGTAACGGTTAGTTACAGTGACTGCAACCAAAGCAATCTGTTCCAAATAGTGTCACTCCAACATTCTTATCATGCCCATTCAAAAAATGAAATCAAACGCTAACCTTGTCACACACTTCATATTATCACTCTTCAAAACACAGATGCATAACTCAAGGCAAACCAATATCATTTCATCATAAAAAATCATTCATCACCAGGCACCACCAATCCCAGTCATCATAGATAGTAAAACATTGTTAATACAATTAATTAGTTACTGTTTAGTCAGTAATTTAGAATGATGTGTTATGTGGTCAAAATCTTAAGGTCGAATTTAATTAAAATAAATTTTCAGCTAATGCTAATAAACATAAATATGTACTCTGTGAATAAAAATTTAACTGACCCATCTAGGGCTTGTAAAAATTTTAAGGTTCATTAATAATAGATTGTGCAAATCTTATTGAAATCTGAAGTTGTTTTTCCTGTAATAAATTTTTAAAGTTTCAATGCCAAAAACCATTGAAAACGGTTTTTGGTAAAATAATATTTAATTAATCATCTAGGGTGTCTTCAATTATTTTCAACATTGAAACTGAAAACTCATTACAAAAACTGAACTTAAAAATTTAATGAAATTTTCATATATATATTCATAGATTGACTAACAATAAACTTTGATATTTTCACAGGCCATAGATGCATAAGCATTAAGATTTTTAAAAGCAGATATTTAAACATTTAAAAAACATTAAACTTTAAAAAAAGCTTCAGATTTTATTAAACTTTTTACCACATATTCTAAAAATTTTTGTTAATAAACTTTGATAATTTCACAAGACCTAGATTATTATTTCACCAGGTACTTGATTTTTATTTTTCAATATAATAAATATTGAATTTCTTGGCTGAAATCCCTGGCTAATTCACGCATTAAAGGTTATTCTCTTTTTTGCACTTGCTTCAGAAATATCAATGACAAACACCCACAGCGTATATAAATACACCTGAAAACTATGCATCATACACATGCGTATGATAGACCCCTTTGTATTCAAACCCATTAACTGACAACAAGATCAGCCACCTTTAACCATTGAGCTATATGCCTTTAACTGATAAAAATTTACTATCACTTTTTAATATTTTGTTAGCTGAAACACAAAATACATACAAATTTCTTTACATATATTATAATTTCTTTATGTTTATCTGCAAGTAATGAGTGAAAATTCTAAGCATAAATTAAAGAATGGTTATACATATATATATACATATACATATATATATATATATATATATATATATATATATAATAAATAAAAAATAAATAGAACAAAAATAAATAGAAAAATAGTTATTAATTTGTTTTCTAGATAAATAATAAATAAATTAAACAACAATGATAAAAACACGGTAGAAAATATTGAAAAATTAAACCAGAAACTGATCAAAGCTGAAAATGAATAAACAATAAAAACCTAGTGTCCTAGTTTGATCTGTTTACGGTACCATGACATTATTTATTTATACTAATTAATAAGTTCAAAAAATCGGCAGAGCTCATTGCAAAGCAACATACAAGAAACGTAAGTAACACACTAGCCTATCAATATTATAATGTTTGAAAATAATTCTAAAAAGAAATTATTAGATAAACAAACTTTGAACCCTGTTATAAAAATAACTTCCCAATAAATAAAATCAAAACATTGTTACAATCAAGCTTTTTATGAAATCTTACATGACTACACATACACAGCTTATATACACGAGCTTTTGTGAGATTACCACACACTTCCCACTCAGGAAATAATTTTTGAGTTGTTTATTGCATCATCTCATATCATTATGTTCTGATAATATTATTATATATTATAGATAAAAGAAATCTTTTGAATGTTTTTGACATGCTCATCTAAAATCTTAACTAAATTAACTTAAAATATCCATCATTATTATTATCAAGAACAAAATGGGCAAAACTAAAACTCATCTATAGAAGTTACATAAATTAAATATTGTTTTTTCACATTAAACCAAAAAATAAACAAAAGTTAACTATCTCCATAAAAAATACTTTCATTCATTAACCATAGCCCAGCAACATAATATAATACCAATAACAGCTTCCAAATCTAATTTGAAATCCACATTTGTTAAGGCATCATCCATTTTTTTAATTTATTTACTCCAGAAGCATTGACAACATCCTTAAGTGAACCATTCCAAATTTTTAATATTATAATACACCAATATCTTTTTCTCAAATTGCAGCCTAACGGTAGAGTTGATCCTCAGACAATGACCTCTTGTATCATGATCTGCTTTTGCTATTTCAAGAAAACCGCTATCTTCTCTGTGCATCACATTGAACAACATCATCAAATCACCACGTACTCTTCTGTACTTTAACATTGGCCGTTTCAAGTAGTTCAGTCAATCAACATATTTCATCTGAGAACATTTCCTAACTATTATAATTGCCCTTGAATGAGGACATTGTGACATTGTTAAGGAGATCGAGATTGCGGTGGTATGGACATGTGTTAAGAAGGGATGAAAGGGTCGGGATTAGGCGAGCGTTGGAGTTCGAGGTTGAAGGAGTGATAGGAAGGGGTCGTCCGCAATTGGGATGGAGAGAGCAGGTGGAGAAGGACAGAGTGAAAGCGGGGTTGCGTGATACTGAGGCGAGTGACAGATGTGAATGACGTCGAGGAGTATTTCGGTTTCATCATAGGTAGCCAAACAGTAACCCTCGATCCCCGATTAACCCAGCCATGTAGTTGGCAGCAACTACATGCCGGTCCTAAGCCCGGATAAATGGGGAGGGGTGAGGAAAGAAATAGCAAACTACCTCCCTATTTTGCTGAAATACCTTATGGATCAGCACAATCAAATAAGTTCAGATATGATGCTGGAAAGTGAGACCCCTGGGCTGGAAAGCATCTATCATATTACCAGGGATGAACGTGAACGTTTTTCAAGTAGCGAAGGCATTTATGACGTGGACGGGACAAATCCATCAGGACTCCCGCCTGCTGATGTGGCTCCGAGCAAAAGGAAGCGTCTACGTTTTTCAACAACTATTCACAATATTGGCACATGGAATGTTCGCGGCATGAACATAGGCAAACTCAAAATCATCAAGCAAGAAATGCAACGACTTCATATCGATCTGTTGGGCATCAGCGAGCTTCACTGGACGGGTAATGGATATTTCAAAAGCGATGAATACACCGTCGTCTATTCTGGAAACGACACCACCAAACGCAATGGAGTGGCATTCATCGCAACAAAAGCAGTCAGCAAAGCCGTACACTCTTTTAACATTGCTAGCGATCTAATTATATCCATACGCATCACTGGAAGCCCCCGCTCAATCACGGTTCTACAAGCATATGCACCAGAGAAAGACATCGAAGATTTCTATACCAAACTCCAAGAGACAATCGACCAGATCCCAGCTCGTGACATAATCTTTGTAATGGGAGATTTTAATGCGAAATTCGGATCAGGTGAAGACTTGCCTGTCGTCGGCAAATTTGGTTTTTGTGAACGAAATGACGCAGGAGACCACCTGATCCAATGTTGCACAGAAAATCGTTTCTCGATCATGAACACTTGGTTTGAACAGCCCCAAACGGTATACATCGAAACCAAATCGACTACATCCTATGTCAGCGCTGCTGGAAAAGCTCAATACTAGCAACGAAAACCTATCCAGGCGCTGACTGCGGCTCCGATCATCAGCTACTGGTTGCTAAAATCAAAATTCGTTTCAGTTCCATTAAGAGACTTCAAGCATTACGCCGCTTTGACACAGACAATATCCCCGCCCAATACGCAGTAGAAATAAAGAACAGATTTGAGGCATTCAGCGATTTCAATGAAGAGCCTGATAAAATGTGGGAGGAAATCAAATCGATCGTGGGAAAAACAGCAGAGGAAATCATCCCGTTCAAGAAATCAATGAAAAGATCGAAGTGGCTGACGGACGAAGCAATCAAGATTGCTGAGCATCGTCGCATGGCCAAGGCAAAGGGGAACATCGAGGAATTCCGACTACTCAATGCGGCGTTCCAAAAAAGGGCCAGACAGGACAAAGAAGCATACTGGAACAACCAATGCGAGGAACTGGAAAAGGCGAACCGACACGATCATACCCGTACTCTTTTTACCTATGTCAAGCAGGCCAGAAAATCATTCACGGCATGCAAAGTGTCTACCGTCAAAGACAGTGATGGTACGATATTGCAAGAAGGGCAAATCAAGCGACGATGGCGGGACTATGCAGAGGAGCATACGCTGGCAATCCATCAATCCAACTGGTTGTTCAACCCAAACAGATTGATCGGGAACCGGACATCCAGGAAGAAGAAGTCAGTTGGGCTCTAAAACAACTACCAGGCACGGATAATTTACCAGCAGAACTACTCAAGCCAATACCAGTCAAAATCCTTACCAAATTGTGTTAGAAAATCTGGAGCACAAAATCATGGCCCAACGACTGGACAAGATCAGTTTTCGTCACGCTTCCTAAAAAAAGGCGATCTACAGGAATGTTCCAACTATCGAACTATCGCGCTCATCTCCCACGCCAGCAAAATCCTGCTAAAGATTCTACAAAACCGCATTGTGGCAATCATGGAACGGGAACTACCAGATGTTCAGGCTGGCTTTCGCAAGGGACGAGGCACGAGGGATCAAATTGCGAACCTACGCTGGATCATGGAGAAGGCTAGAGAATACCAGAAGGACGTCTATATGTGTTTCATTGACTATACCAAGGCGTTCGACTGTGTGAACCATGACAAACTCTGGACTTGTTTGAAACAAATGGGCATACCAGAGCACATTGAACAACTGATACAAACACTGTACTTCAATCAGGAAGCAACTATCAGAACATCGTATGGTAACACCGATTGGTTCAAAATCTGTAATGGCGTCAGGCAGGGATGCATTTTATCCCCAGCTCTGTTTAATCTGTATGCCGAAACCATCATGCGACGATGCAATCTGGACGAAACCACAATCGGAGTCCAACTTGGAGGTAGGACTATCAACAACCTGCGATATGCGGATGACACAACTATACTCGCAGAAAGTGAGAAAGACCTGGAATACTTGATCCAACGAGTTCAAGAGGAAAGTGAACGCATGGGACTGTACCTCAACATCAAGAAAAAGAAATTAATGACAACGGCATGCAATGATGCAGTAAACATCAAGATCAACAATGAACAGATAGAGACAGTACAAGATTTCATTTTCCTGGGAGCCAAAATTGACCGAAACGGCGAATCTGGACCAGAGATCAAAAGGCGGATTGCACTCGGCCGGGCTGCAATGCAAGGAATATATAAAATCTGGAAGAGCAAGGATGTGAGCATTGCAACGAAAACGAGACTTATCAACGCCATTGTCTTTCCCATAGCAACTTATGTATGTGAAAGTTGGACAATCAAGAAAGCGGAAAGAAAAAGGGTCGACGCTTTTGAACTTTGGTGTTAGAAAAGACTACTGCGTGGACATCGCGAACAACAAATCAGACGGTCTTGAACCGTATCAAGCCAAAAATGTTGCTTGAGGGCAAAATCGTCAAACAACAACTCTCCTTTTTCGGCCATGTTATGCGCGCAAATTCACTGGAAACTTCAATGATGCTAGGTAAAGTGAGAGGTAAAGTGACAAGAAGAAAAGGTCGGCAAAGAATACGTTGGCTTGATACAATCACATCAGCCACCAAAATGACGATCTCAGAACTTAAAATAATCGTCGAGGACAGGAACGCATGGAGAAGACAGATCCATAAAGTGGCCGAAAGTCGACTTCAACTAAATGGCTAATCATCAACCGCCGATCTCAGGAAAAATGTCATCTAAACGTGTGTTGTTTGTTTGTTAGTTTCTTTCTCCAAGACAATCATTCCATTGCGTTTGTCTCCTTGAGACCAAGTGCCTTCAAGTCCTCCTTTGTGGTCTGCGAACAGGACTTTTTTGGGCGACCTCTTGGGCGGGTGCCAGGCACCTGGTGTTCAGTAACGAAAACTATTGTATCGTTTTCGCTTCGCTTCACATGGCCAAACCATCGTAGGCGATGACGACGACATGCATTCTTCAAATTGCAGTCCCGAACGGTTCAGGATCGGTTGTGTGGATATGGTCCCTTAGGTCAACATGCTGCATCTAAGGAATCATCTTCATGTCAGTTCGGTGAAGCTGCTGTTCGAGTTTTGTTGTCATCTGCCACATCTCTGCACCATACATCAGAACAGAATGTATAGCTGTTTTGTATAGCTCTGAGCACAATGGTAGAGGAATGCTACGCCGCATCAGTACCAAGGCAAGGAAGTGCCATGCGTCCACAAACAATGGCATCAGCTGTTCCAGTAGAATCCAGCATATGCCATCATACATAACATACTTATATATTATATAGATCAGTGGTTCTCAAACTTATTTTTTCCACTGCTCACTTATGAAAAAAACTTTTCCAGTGCCCCTCTGCTTTAAAACTTTTCAATTGAAAGAAATGTAATAAAAATTAGCTTCTTAGTAAGTTGATGTTTATTATAATAATAATATATATTATTCTTATTTCTACACCAACCACTTATTTTAAAATTATATAAATTTCGAGAAATAAAAACAATAAAGTAGTTTTACAAAGAAAGAGTATTCTTAAATCTAAGTTGAAAGTTGAAACAACAAACAATTGAACATAAATGAATTTAATGTGATGGGTTAATTTGATGATTTTTATATAACTGTTAATATCAGGCGCAAAACGTTAATATAAGTCCTACCTCGGGAAACCGGGTCTCTGGACGCAAAACGAAGATTGATTGATTAATATCAGGCGCAAATTTACTGAAAACAGTTTATTGATATCCAAGTAATTTCTTTTTTTGTTAACAGCTTTGTCACAGCACTAAATCCACGTTCACACAAATACGAGGATGGAAATGCAAGCAAAAATTGTTGAACAACTGACTGCAATCCAGGGTACAACAAAGGGATTTGCTTTTGTAGCCAAATACATTTTTTTGTGACTGGAAGATTTTGAGTTATGTTTATAAATTTACAATAACGTTGATGGGTATCTGCCAGGTTAGCATGGAAAAAAATTTTAACTGGTTCAAAGGTATGGTTTTTGTGAACCAACCCAGCAAAAAATAATCAATACATAGACATAAAACTTCTTAAGTTCTCAAATTTTGTCAAAACCTATCACCTCTCTCCAGTAAGACTTCGCCCATTTCGAGAAACACTGATAGATTATAAAAAACCAATTTTTGAATGTTTTTTACACATTTATCTAAAATCTAAACTAAATCAACTAAAAGTTAAATTTTTAATTATTAGAACATCTATTACCATTCTATGCACCTGGAATTGTTGAACATTTTCAATTTAAAAAAATCCAAATTTTAATGTAAATAAAATATATAAATTTTTATTATTTTAATATTTATTAAAAATAAAGGTTTTTTTTGTGAAGACTGACCATGCTTTTTTTATGTTTATTTACCATTCTAAACATTAAAGGGTTTCCAATGTTTACTAAGAGCAATTTTTTCAAATGATACGCAAGCGGCTTACAACAAAATTTTAACATAATCTTATAAGTCTTAATTAATTATTAAATAATATAATGCTACTGCTATTTTGAATCAATAGCAAAATTTAATTAAAATTAATTAAACTGAACACATGAACACAAAAATTAATTATAATTATATTATAGATAGTGTTGTCATGCCTTGGGATGTGGAACATCACCATTTTGAACTTGAGATTCCGAGGCTATTTCCATATTAAATTTTAAAATCTAGTGTATATTTTTCCTCAAGATTAGAAGCAAATTATCAAACGAATCGTTCGGAAAACCTATTGCAATCTAGAGACAACTAAACGACGCAATAACGATCGATAAACGTGCAGCTTACAGAGGCGTGAAAAGAAGATGGGCGATACAGGTATGCGTAGTAAAAGATCCGATCATATACTTAAAAGGCGATCCGACACGAATAAAGCTTTTGATTTTTAATTTTTTTCAAAATAAAAATTATACCTTAAAAAAGCATAATTTTGAATATCTATATTATCATCAACAATTAATTTACTATATATAGTTCGGTGATCCTTCATAATTTTTACTAAGTTTCAATGATCCAATAAAATCTCCTGTAATTTAATGGATATAATAATTTATATAAATAAATATAAATATATATATATTTGCAATCTTTGATAAAATCTAACAAATTTTTAGCTTTTGAAAGTTTACGATTGAGCTTTTCAATATTTCTAATAGTAATTTAATAATTATTATCTAATTTGTTAAAATTAATAAAAAAAATCATTGGTGTTTATGGTGAAGCGAATAGGCTATATTTCGATTTTAGTCATCATTTAAAAGTTTTACAATTCGAAAAATATATATAAATATATATGTACATAATATATATGTACTTATATATATATTTACAATATTCTATAAATTCTACCGAATGTTTGGCGTTAATGTGTTTGTAAACATATCAGTGACAAGTTAACTTTGACAAAGTCAATCTCCATCTAAGTTCATTTTGACAAAGTCAATATTTCCCTATATAAACAGCAGAAAGCACTGATGATGATTCATTCGGAATCGAAATATGGCCTTATTTGCAGCATGAATTCGGAAAATAAGTTTATTTTGAATTTTAATAAACTAAACGTTCACCAAAAAACTTTAGTGAGAAAAATTGAAAAAACGAACTACAAACATATTAACGCCAAACATTCGGTAGAATTTATAGAATATTGTAAATATATATACATATATATAGACCCACGTAAAACATGCTTATTCATACACACACATATATACACACATGCACACACACACATGTACACACAAACACACACACACACACACACACGTACATAAACCCACACAAAAAGTTAAGAGGGTTTAAATGTTAACAAAAGGATTTAATGTCTTTTTTAAATTTTACAACGGATTTTGCTTCTTTCAAATATTCAGGTAATTTGTTGTGCGACGACTCTTATGCTACAATTGATAAGTTTCAATCTGTTTTTTTCAATATAAAATGTTGAGGTATGTTTTGTGTTTTTTAACTGGATTGCGTTACTATAAATAAACAAATTATTAAAATTTTTTCGAATTAAGTTGTTAATAAGTTTAAATATAAATATTGAGATGCATGTGTAATAAATTTGTTTTATTGAAAGTAGTTTTGCAATCTGAAAATAATTAGAGGTGTGGTCATTAAATTTCAAATCGAATAAAATTCTTTTAGAACGTTTTTGACATTTTAACAGGGGATCTAACTGATAAGCAGGACTATTTCCCCATAACGAGTATAAGGGTATATAAAGCTATAATACAAATCTTTTAATATTGTGGAATTAATCTTATTTTTGATTTTATAAAGTATACCCATGAATTTATTGATTTTTGATTTAAGATTTTCAATGTGATAACTGTAAGACAAATTATCTTGCAGAACTAAACCCAAAAGAACAACTTGATTGGTTCTGTTTAATTTCACATTGCTAAACACAAGGTCCAAGTCCGAGAAACTATTGGTTAAAATCTTTGGTCCAAATATAACATAGGCCGATTTGGTTGAATTAACCATGAGTTTGTTCATAGAAAACCAATCCTCGAATAATTTGAGTTCATTATTTATGAATCTCGTTTAAGGTCATCAGAAAAATAAAAAATGTTTGAATCGTCAGCGTAAAGAATATAATTCATCTTTTATATATATATATATATATATATATATATATATATATATATATATATATATATATGCATATACAAGGCCGTATTTAAAAATTGTGTTCGGGGGGGTTTAAAAATTTTGATTTAGATCACGTTTATTTTAATTTTTATTCAAATTTACAAATGAAAATGTTCAATAAAATAAAGGAAAAGAAAATAATTAACCGAGAAATTAATGTGGCCGAGTGGTTAGCGTGTCCGTCTACCACTCCTACGACCCGGGTTCGAATTCTGTAGTTTCTACAAGTTCATCCGGGTAACCGACTCCCGGCCAAACCAGCCGTCCATCCTTTCGTGGCTGGTAAATGGGTAAACAACGTAAGTTGTCGCATATTGGCCGGCGAGGTGGCTCAGTGGTTCAAATGCTCGCTGAGTCCAACATCTCAATAGCTATGATATACTCAGCGTATATGATGCGGTGCTTGCGCGTGCACATAAAATCCATGTGTACGTCGTGTGAAAAGAATAAACAGCCTTTGACGTAGTGAAAATGAATGAAGATGTAACGAGCTTAAATGATGATATACAAGCCTTGAAAAAAGAAGTAATTAAAACTAAAGAGACAATTAAATCTTTCAGTGAAATAGAGGAAAGATCTTGTAATCTCATCATTTTCAAATTGAAAGAAAATTATCAGCAAAATTTCAGTGATACCAAAAGTGATGATGAGGATAAAATTACGCGCATCAAAGGTACAATAGTGAATGACCAGGGGGGTCGATCATGCATAGTTAAACATTATAGATAGGGTAAGAAATCAGATAATGTCAGACCATTGCTGGGCTAAAGTCCTAAAAAATTTAGTTATGGAGAACTTGTCCAAACTGAAAAAACTTGATGAAGACTTGAAAGGAATAAACATTGGTTATGACATGACTAAGGATGGTATGTAAAGAATTGATAGTGATTGCAAAGGAGATGGAAGCAGCAGAAAAGCTAGATTTTATTTACAGAGTGAGAGGAGAACCAGGAAACATGAAAATAATAAAAATAAAAAAAGGGTGCATTGACTTCTCTGTACTGTGACATAGGAGATATGTTGAACAATGTTGAGAATTGTATTACTTATTTATTTATACAAATTCATTTATAGTATTACTAATTATTTATACAAATTCACCCTGATAAACTTTGTGTTGAAGATGGTTAATGACGTTTTTGGTGTTGATGCAATCACTGGCGACACCGACAATGGTAGTGCTTGCAGCGATGTTGGTGTTACAAGTGGTGATGACTGTGATGGTAACGGTTATACAAGTAGTGGTGAAGATGGTTGTAGTGTTAATGATAATGGTGGTGGTGGCTGTGGTGGTGACGATAATGTTTGTGCTGGTGGTGGTAACGTTAATGATTGTGGTATTTGCGGTGGTGGGAATGGTTGTGGTGGTAACGATAATGTTGGTGGTAGTGATGGGAATGGAGTTGGTTGTAGTGGGAGTGATAATGGTGGTCGTAAGGGTGGTGGTGAATCTGGTTGTGGTGGTGAAGTTTGCGGTCGTGGTGATGGCGGTGGTGAAGATGGTGGCGGCGGTAACAATGGTTGTAATAACATTGAATGTAAAAATGATGGTGGTGGTAATGACGATGGCAATTTTGACGGTAGTGATGGTCTTAATATTGACAATAATAAACAAGGAAATAATTTAATTAAAAATGAACAACATGTGCTGTTAAGATTTGTTTCATCATTCATAGATCTATTTCATCAAAACACGAGATGTTAGCGGATGGACATGATGTTCTGGTGCTTGTGGAAACATGGCATGGTTCTTCAGATAACTTTTCGATTCAATTGGCCATGCTTTCTGGTTACAGTTTTGAGGATTTTCTCAGACCGCATAATCCTTATCATGGTGGCTCAATGATATTTTTTTAGATCAAATTTCAAGTTCTAAAAGATTGACCTACCAGGTTTTTCTACATTTGAGGTTTTGGCTGTTAGGTTTATTATGAATGGTAAAGACTGGGTGTGTGTTGTTTTATATAGACCGGGTTTAGAGCAGATGAAGGCTTTGTTTTTCAATGAGTTGGTTTCATTGCTTGAACATATTTCAGTACTGACCTCACATTTCTTGCTGACTGGTGATTTTTATGTACCTGTTGAAAGGAATAATAACGTTCACACTATCAGTATGCTGAAAAATGTCGATATATTTAAAATGATTAATAATATTAATGAGCCAACACATAATCTTGGGGGCACTCTTGACCTGATTATAAGCTCAATAGAATTTCCTATTGGTACATGTAAAGTTTTTCTAAGTGGTGTGGTTTCTGACCATAGTTTGATACATGTGACTATAATAATGACAAAGATTGCTTCCGTTAAAGCTACCAAATTAGTGAGATATTGGAAACATTGTAGGTTTGTTAAAATGATTGCCGACTCTGCTTTGTTGAGAAAGAGTTTGAAATATTTAACAGTCAACTTAGTTTTATAGTGAATCAAGTTTCAGATGTGATGTATCGGCACCTTGGTTCAATAATGAATGTAGAGATAACAAACGATGCCGCCGAAAGTTAGAGAGGAAATAGGAAAAAAATCTTGATGGTAATGATAAACATGTATGGTTTAATGCTTTGAGAACTAAAAGTAAAATTTTTGTTGAAAAGCGTAAACTGTTTTTGAGCAGGTTGGTTAGTGAGAATAATAACAATTCAAAGAATCTGTGGAAAGTGGTTAACAAAATCATCTGCTATAAAAATGACCTTGATGTGTCTCATGATTTGAAATCTGAGCTGCTTATGAAAATTTTCCAAGACAAAATAAAATCATGTTTTAATGAATAAAATAGACAAATTTTTGATGATAGCAGGATTGTTTCGGAAAATTCATTTCAGTTTTCTTGGAGGTCACAGAATGTGAGATTAAAAAATTCATTCTTAGATCACCGGCCAAGACGTGTTCACTGGATATTATTCCGACGCATATATTAAAAAACATATTGATTCATTTTTAATCTTCATTACTAGTTTTGTAAATTAAAGTTTAAAATCTGGTACTGTGCCTTCTTACTACAAACATGCTGTTGTAATTCCTTTTCTGAAGAGAGCGGACGATAATAAAGATGAATTACAGAATTACTGTTTGAATTTAATTTTTTTTATATCTAAAATTGTTGAACGTGTAGTGGTGATTTAAGATATTTAGATTTGCACTGCCTGATGCCTGTCAACCAATCAGGTTATAGACGCCATCATAGCACTGAGACGGCACTGGTACATGTTTTGTCAGGGATATACAAAGCCGTTGATGAGCAAAAGGTGTTATTCTTGTCATTCTTGGACATGAGTGCCGCGTTTGACTGTGTGGACCACCAAATCCTACTGGATAGACTATCGTATGATTATGGGGTAACCTGTGTTCAACCTGTGTTCAGATCCTATTTACATGGACGAACACAGGTGATTCGTATTAATAATACACTATCTGGTGTCGATGCAATTTTATCTGGTGTTCCGCAGGGTTCAGTTTTGGGACCTATTTTGTTTATGCTATATACATCGGAAGTTTTGAAGTTCATTGAAGCTAGTGGTTTTAAATACCATGCCTATGCGGATGATATTCAAGTAATACTCACAAGCAAACCAGAATTATTGGAAAATGAAGTTCCGAGGTTGGTTAAATGTTTGTCAGATAATGATAAGTAGATGTCAAAAAACAGGTTAAAATTTAATCAGTGTAAAATCAAGTTTTTGTCATTTGGTACACTGTGGCAATTGACTAAGATTGGTATAAATTCAGTATATGTCGATGGTCAGCGTATAGAATTTTGTGAACATGCCATTAACCTGCGCGTTAATTTGGATTCGAAACTGTCCATGAAAAATCATTTGCGAATGATTTCATCATTATGTGCGTATCAACTTCATAGACTATATCGTATTCGCAAATATATGGATGAAACTATTGCACGTACCCTGGTACATGCATTCATTCATGTCCGGGTTATTCTACGGTTTACCTGAAAAATCAATATCCGGGCTTCAATCCGTTCAAAACAGAGCTGCGAAAGTTGTTGTTGGAGGGTCAAAGTTTGACCATGTGACTCAAACATTAAAGGATCTCCATTGGTTGAATGTTAAAAAGCGAATAATCTTCCAAATATGTGTTCTGATCTTCAAGGCCATGAATGAACAATTGCCTGTATATTTGTTGGATGAACTTAAAAAGAGATCTGGGGTTTCTGAGATCAGGGCCTGAACTAGCGTATTTTCCAGGGGGAAAAAACTCAGTGTGCCGCCCCCTACCACGTTATTATTATGCTACTACCATAAGCTGTTGTTTAAAGGCAGTTTTTTAAATTACATACAACATGTTTCTTATTAAAATGTTTTATTTTAATATAGGAAAAAAACAACAACTGTAGTTATAAAACACTAAAAAGTGAAAAACTTTGTTTATATTGCAGCGTCCACGTATCAAGTAATTGTTTTGTATATTACATTAGAAATAAATTCTTCTAGCTTTTTTTAGTTGCAAATGTATTATTGATTACGTCATCGAAATTGACAAGGGATGCTCGTTTGTGTTCGATTGAAATTATTCTTAGATTGGAAAGTCTTTCCTGTCCCATTGTACTTCTCATGTAGTTTTTGATGATTTTGAGTTTGCTAAAACTTCGTTCTCTAGATGACACTGTGACAGGCAATGGGAGAAACATTCTCAATGCAATAGTGATGTTAGGGTAGCCTTCTTCTAATTTATTTTTATAAATGAGAGTTAATATTTCATTTGATGTGGCTTTTTTTAATCTTTGTCAACTTTCAAAGCGTGATGCTTAAAACTTTCTCTTTTAAAGTTGAATTTTTCAATATTGAGATCAGCTGATTATATATTTGCCAATTCTTCTGCTTTAATTTTTAGATCTGCTATCTGCATTTTTTCAATTTTAACATCACTCGAAAATCCAAACATGCTGTTTACATTATTCAAAAAAAGCTTCAAATCTGTCACTAAGTTCTGTAATCATCCGGTCAATGATTTCTAACATAGCCACTTGGTACACATTTTCAACACTTGCAAGAGCTTCACTGTTACACAACTCACCAGGCTTTTTTTCTTTCTTGGTCCCTTTTCTGAAAATTCAGATGTTAGATTATTCATTTTTGCTAACAATTTACCATCAGCAATGGCCTCAGATGGTGCAAATTCTCTGCAAGACATCATGAATGTTAAAAGACCTTTGAGGTTTCGGGCAGCCAAATCTACCGTTAAATCTCTTTTTTGTAAAAATTCGTTTACGTGGTTAATCTTTTCTAACAATGCATGCCAAACTACCTGAGTTATTTTTTCACTGTGACTGATATCTGGAGTGCAGTCAAATATTAAGGAAAATTATTTTGCATCCAAAATGTCTTGTATTATTCTTTGCTTTATGTTATTAGCAATAATTTCTAGAAACTCATCCTGTACTTTATGTGAAAAATATGATATTTGTCCTTTCTTATGCTACTCAATGTGTTGTTGAAGAGAGACATTATAACGAGAAATAAGTTCAACTGTGTTGAAAAACTTTCCACTAGATGGGTCACTGAAATCACAGTTTTCTTTAATTCTTCGAAATGGACTCCCTTGTTTTGCCAAAAATAGAACAGTATTTACAATACAGCGCAATACGGCATACCAGTGCAACTGTTCTTGATGGATCTTATTTTGGAGTTCTGCTTCAATACTTCCATCTACTAAACAAAATTCTAAAATTTTCCAAAAAAAAGCAAAGTTTGTGTTTGGATGAATTTTCATGTTCAGGCAACTTTTTACTGAGTTTTTTCTAATTGGCAAGTTCTTTTTTTAGCTAAAGAAGATATTTGATTTGAAGCTAAATGTGGAAACAGCTTGCAGAGAATACAATAGAGAGCTATATTATTTTCACAGTAGGCTAACCATGATCATTTTATTTTTTGTCCAATTTTGAGAACTTTATAAAACCAATCTTTGGTTAAATTGCGTACTTCTCTGCTACTGTTAATTAAATTTGGTTCAGCCAAATTTTCAAATCTCATTTTTGTTATGAAACACCTTTCATCTCTAATAATAAAAACAATTCCAACTCTAAACCTTCCTCGGATATGAAAAGTAGTCCTTTGATTTATTCATTTACATGTAAAATTGGTTAGTGCGTAGATCAAAATTCTAGATACATCGGAATGACTACAACAACATTAACGAGAAGACTCACTATGCATAAGCAGCATGGATCAATGAAAGCCCATCTAATGGAACAACACAACACTATTATAACAAAGGAAATTTTAGACAATAACACCAAAGCAATTTATTACAACAGAGAATACTTCAAATTAAAGATAGCAGATTCAATTTTCATTTTAATTCTAATTAAGTTACAATCAAAGTCGCTGTAAAAACAAAGACACAAAGACGGAACAATACTATATAACTACACTGATGATGGCAGTTGATACCGAAAAGAGCTTTTTTGTTGTAATAACGTTATTAGTAACGTTTGTCAAAAATGCCAAATATTAAAAGTTTTTTATTTAACCTTAATAAACTTCATCAAGATGATAAAATTCTCGTTAGAAAAATTGAGAAACTCAACTACAAGTTGAATAATGCCGAAAACGCAGTGATCTTTATATATATATATATAACCAACCAACCCAAATAGTAAAGTTAAACTCCGAATTTATTACAACAATAAAAAGACGTCTCACCTAATACTGAAAAACAACTGCAGTCCTAGAGATAACTCTGAGTTAAAGCGTAATCACGTTATATATGAACTTAATTGCCCCTTTGACGGCTGTGCACGTCAACATGACTCATATATCGGGATTACTACTACCTCACTGACTAGAAGGCTTACGATGCATAAACAGAGTGGTGCTATCAAATCTCATTTGGACTCAACACACTCAATCACAATTAGCCGTGAAATCCTCGACAGCAACACCAAAGTAATATACCAGAACTACACGCATCTTAAAATTGCAGAAGCAGTCCTAATCGACATCAATAAACCAAAAATAAATATACAACAAAAAATGACAACCTCACTTCCAACCCGGCGCTTAACCAACAACGAAAACAAAGAAGTAATAAAAACTAGCATCGTAAATAGTGACAAAAAAGAATATGATGCTATCGATGAAGAAAAGGAGACCAAAGAAGATGATCAGCCAATTAAGAAAACTGGAACCTAATTCGCATCAAAGTTCAATTTTACAACATCAAAGTTAATTTTTACAACGTCAAAGTTCATCTTGACAAAGTCAATATTTACCTATATATACAGCAAGGAGCACTGAAGATGATTCATTCGGAATCGAAATATGGCCTTATTTGCAGCATGAATTCGAAAAATAAGTTTATTTTGAATTTTAATAAACTAAACGTTCACCAAAAAACTTTAGTGAGAAAAATCGAAAAAACGAACTACAAACATATTAACGCCAAACATTCGGTAGAATTTATAGA